TTTTGAACATCAGCTAAGGCTCTTACCCCCAGTCCCCCTTCCTCTGTTGGAAAGCAAATCTTTGACCACTTTGCCCAATGAAAGTTTTTTCTGTCATTTGTAGAACCCCAAAAGAAAGAAGACATTTTCTTTTCCAGAGTGGAGATAACCTTTTTGGGGAGAACATCAGTAGCTAATATATGATTAGGAATAGCACTAAGCACATGCTTTATTAATACTAATCTGCCCCCTTGTGAGAGGTTTTTCTGCTTCCAGGATGAAAGTTTGTTATCAAATTGTTTGATAATATGAGAACAATATTGAAATCTGTTCACTCCTTTATGCAGACAAGCACCCAGATATTTCATTGGTAGACAGGACTTCTGCATACCAAGAATTCTTTGGATAGTTGAACTTCTGTAAGTAGCATTTTTTCCAGTAATGAAACTGCTTTTACTTAAATTGACAGTCTATCCTGAGGCAGATTGATATTCATTTACAAAATCCTTGAAATTGACCAAGGATCTTGAGTCCCCATTGATAAAGATCAATAAATCATCTGCAAAACCAAGGTGACTAATAGGATAACCTTGATTACCCATCCAGAAGGGTTTAATTGCCCCCTGCCCCATTCTGACTTTTAATCCTCTAGAAAAACCTTCAGAGGCAATAATAAAAAGAAAAGGGGATAGGGGGTCACCCTGTTTAACACCTCTCTTAGGCTGAAAATACCCCTGAGGGCTCCCATTTACCAAGATAGAAAGATGGGTAGATTGCAGATTATTCCTAACCAGAGAAATGAACTTGTGAGAAAAACCAAACCTCCTTAGCACCTCAAATAAATAATTCCAAGAAAGCTTGTCAAAGGCTTTGGCCATATCCAGTTTGATGATAACATTTGAGCCTCTAACTTTCTTATCAATTGCAAGAACCATTTCCTGAGCCATAAGGATTTGATCTGAAATGTCTCTGCCTTTAACAAACCCAGCTTGTTCCTCGGTAATTATTTTAGGGAGCAACTTTACTAATCTAGAAGCCAACACTTTAGTACAAATCTTATTAGTAAAGTTTGAGAGACAAATGGGTCTAAAATCAGAAAAGGAGGAAGGGATATCACTTTTGGGAACTAAAACAATAAGAGAGCTAGTAAATCCTTTAGGAGGGGGAACCCCAATGAAAAATTTCTGGACAGCTTTCACAACATCACTCCCCACAATATGCCAACATTTTTTAAAGAACTTACCTGTAAAACCATCGGGTCCAGGAGCACCATTATGATTTAATTCCCAAATAACATCCTTAACTTCATCTTCAGTAGGAATTGCAGTAAGAATTTCATTGTCTTCTTGATTCAGTATTTCAGGAATACCCATCAGAAATTCATTATGTGTTGTAACATGTTCTACAACATAGAGTTGAGAGAAGAAATCTACAGCTGCAGTTCCAATCTCAGGTAAACTTGACAGGTCTCTTCCATCTGAATCTTTAATAGCAGTAATCATTTGTCTTCTTCTTCTTATTTTCACAAAAGAGTGAAAATAGTGAGAGCTACAATCACCTTCTTTAAGCCATTTTATATGTGCTTTCTGTTTCCAGTACTTCCTTTCCAGTCTCTACTTACTCAGTAAAAGTGCTTTTTTAAACTGCAATTCGTCTCTATTTGCATCAGTAGGGGCATTTAAGAATTCCAACTCAGCTTTAGCAACCTCTTGTTCAATAAAATTAATATCCTCAAAGATATTACCAAAAACTTCCTTGTTCCACTTCCTCAAATCATTTTTAAGCCTCTGAAGTTTAATAACCAATCCTTGCATTCCACCCCCAGTAAAGCTTCCATTCCAACTTTTTTCAAGAGTAGATAAAAAGGATTTACTAGACAACCACATGTTTTGGAACTTAAATTGCCTGGGCCCTGACTGGAAGTTATTTTTACACTGGATAAGCATTGGGCAGTGGTCCGAGGGGGTCTGATTAAGGTTTGTAACCGTGATTTGGTCGAATGAGTCAAGAAACAACTCATTGAAAAGACATCTATCTAACCTTCTCCATAACCTTCCTCTTGATCTTACCCCAGTCCAAGTATACTGACAGCCTGCATATGGAATGTCAATAAGATTGCAATGAGAGATACAATCCTTGAAGTCCAGCATACTTGTCAGATCAAGTATGGAATCTCCTTTATGTTCTGCATTAGTCATAATAGTGTTAAAATCACCCCCCACCATCCAGGGGTTGTGAATATGATCAGCAATGTGGGTTAACTGCTCCCATAGATCTCTTCTTTCCACAGGAGTATGCTTGGCATACACAGCAGTGATCCATCCCTCTCTTGAATCATAGGAAAATTTGAAGTGGACATACTGTGAATGCCAAGTAGTATCAGAAATATTAATAGTATTTGAATCCCAAAAGATCCAAATTTTATTCACACTATTAAAGAGAACATTAGTAAAACCGAACTCCATTTTGTAATAATTGGCCTTATCAGAATCAACAAGAGGCTCTATAGCCACTAGAAATTGAATCCTCCATTTTTTGATTAATTGAGAAAGTCTTGGCCCGGAGGAAGCCAGACCTCTCACATTCCAAATTAATCCATTCATGGATGGGGGTTAGGAATAGTTTTAGTTTGCCTCTTGGCAGCATTCCTAGTAACCATTCCTGGAGTTTGTTGAAATTGTTGCTTCTTCTTTCTCCTTCTCCCAACCTTAATGAAAACTCCCTCATTCTCCACTTCCTCCATAGCATTTCCACCACCCTGGGCTAAGGCATCAAGTAAGTCAGAATCCTCTCTAGCCCTTCATTTGCTACCAGGAAATTGACTTTATTAACTAATCCAGGTAATGCTTGCATCCACTCCTGTTTGCTTTCATATCTGTGTGATGGTTCTGTGTCAGAACCATATTCTTTATCTGCCAATTCCTGATCAAAAACCTTATGGTGTTCCACAGGAAGTATGGAAAAGTCATCCTTTGGTTGGCTGTTATTTGTTGAAACTATAGGTCCAGGTATTTCTCCTTGAAGAATAAGGTTCATATTATTCATATTACCCTTCTCCTTGCTAGTAACATTGCCTTTGGTAAATGTAGGAGGGTCCTCATGGAAGACTTCCTCTGTATCAGTCTCAGATTCTTCATGCAGGGGCAGAAAGTCACATTGCTAGTTTCAGCCTACACAGATTGCAGGGCCGGTCCTGGGGCATGGGCAGGAGGGGCATGCGCCCAGGGCCCTTTGCTCCAGTAGGGCCCATAAATTTCTCAAATATGTGTGTGTGTGTTTGTGTACATCACTATTTTAATTATATGTATATCCTAAATCTATAAAAGGTAAAATATAAAATCAAACTTATATTTTTTAGATACTTCTAATTAGTTATTCAGCATCTACACGATACAAGTCTATATAATTTTGAACATCCCCATTAGAATTCATTGAGAACATATTTCACCATTTCTTTTGAATCATTATATTATGGATTATTGCATTAATTTTATTCTTTTAGTGTACATGTCTTATGTATATCCAGAACTTATTGATATATTTCACAAATTTCCTCCGATTCTCTAATTTAGTGAAAGATTGAACTTTAGTGTCCATAATTTAGAAACGTAGAATTTGTTTTTGTCTAGTGAAAATGTGATCTAAAATATGAAAAAGTTACTCCTAATTATACAAGATATAATTTCACAGCTTTCCTTAATTTAAATTTTTTATTGCACCTAATAGTTGCACTACTTGTTTCACTTCGCTCTTAGGTACATTGTTTCCTCAAATGTCACTTATCAAATACCGTATATATATTTTCTAACCATGTGCTTTGTTAGTTTTTTTGATGTGTTATACTACTTTTGGACGGTAAAATTGTATAATTTTAAATTATAGATTATTATAGCAAAAAGAACATTATAAACATTCCCCAGCTATCCTTGAGGCCCAGTCTATTTGTATTGTCCCGGGCCCATAAAATGTCAAGATCGGGCCTGACAGATTACATCTCAGAATCATCCTTCAACAGTCCTGACATGTGTATATATAATAGGAAAGTTCAAAACATAATAGAAAACAACTATTATGGCTTTCCTGCATATCTATCACCTCCGACATCCTTACCTTCATACCAAACCGTCCCCCCCCCCCCTCCCCCCCTCTGAGGCAGTCTCGTCCCTTTCTATATATGTTCAACGATGGCACGTTGATACATGGAAAGAAGTATAGAAAGATATATAGAAATAAACAATAAAGAAAGAAAAAGAGACGAGGGAAGAAGAACATCCCTTTTTTGGTTAGTTCGAGGGCTTATTTGCCCATTTTCCCAACTTTTAATTCTACTTATGTCACTCACAAACAAGATCTATATGCTTATTGTCATATTTTAAATTTTTTGACAAGCTTTGATACCAGGGGCGGAGCCAAGGGGGGGTCAGGGTGGTCAGCCGACCCCGCTGAAAGTTTGAAAGTATAGAGCTCTGAAATATATTCGATTTGATATATTATGGCCCTCGTAACTCATTACGAGTAAAAAGTTATGACTTCTGGAAAATCAGCACTATCTAAACGTAAAATCAGCAAAATTTAATGTATAATAATGATATTTTCTTAAATTATATAAATAACGCATAATTAACTCATTACTTACGTGACATGATTCACAAACAGAGCAAAAAAAATCTATCTTATTGCTTACGAATACCTATTTATCTAAAATACAAATGAAACATTCAACTCGAACATTGCCTAAAAATGATTTACTATTTTCATTTTGTACATAGTTGAATTTCGATCCCCCTGATATGTTTTTCTGGCTCCGCCACGGTTTGATACTAATTATAGTTGGGGTACTCAAGCTTTCTAATAATTATAATTGAAAGATTAATTAAATTTTGTCCATACTTTATTACTTTATACGGAGTACTCAACAATTTCACAAGAAGAACTTTCTAAGCAACAATTTGTCAATTTCACAAGAAGTGAAATACTCTTCTCACACTCAATGAAGAAGAAACTACATTAGATAATCACTGGGACGCAAGAAATAAAAACAGCGCATTCAAAGTTTTTTTAATCATAAAAAACAAAGCGCTTTATACTAAAATCATTAAAATGAATCGCTAAAACAAACACAAAAAGATCGTCCTGACAACAACTATCCCTAACCAACTAGCACTATCAACCTTATGATTAGACACAACAATTACTGGTCATATAGATTCTTCCAACAACATAATATCTAGCAAAATTGTTAATCATAATTGTAAACCTAAAACTAAAGACATCAACAAAAAACGGAGCAACATAAAAATGCGAAAATAAAACAATAAAAAATTAAATAACTGATAAATCTTTCCATATTCTAACATCTCGATCGCTCCAAGGAGGCGGTTCAGGGGGCGTCAATCTGTCTTCTCCCTTGCTCAACCATTCACCCTCTACCCATGTTGATTCGCCAAAAATTAACCCTTCGATCTCCTCCTCAATTGCAGAAATGAGACAACGCTGCTTTAGAACTTCCATAGAAGACATGATTATCATATCTTGAACCTTGGATTCGTTTCCAAAAGATTTAGCCGCACTCACGCCTCCTTTAAGATTGACAACAATCATGAGAAAAAAAGAGGTAAACGAAAGCTTTATGTGCGGTCTCCTTAGAACAAGAATAAACACCGAACAAGAAGAATCAAATCTCCGCCAAAAATAACTCAACTAGGAAAACTTTAGACTATGGCCGTAGGAAGAAGAAAGGAGTTATCCCACAACGATGTTCGATAGGTTATACCTATTAGAGAATCTCATTCAGTGCATTCAAAGTTTAGAAAGTTAGTAAGATTTTTTTAACGAAACTAACTTAACTTATCATAACAGAATGAAGGTGGGTTACAAATTGATATCAAGTCTTCTGTCTACCGTCCGCCCTAAAACCAGACTTCGAATTGATGATCTCCATAGAAGGAATATAATTCGTTGATCCGCTTTGGGCTTAACTGAGCCAATAATAGCAATTCAAACTTCTTGTCTCCTATCCTAAGTTCTAAAGTTCTTTTGTTGGAAAAACACAACAGGCAAGACAAAGTACAAATCCAAAACATAAAAAATAAAAAACAAAGTGCAAACAAAATAAAAGTATCTTTTGCTAACATAACCCTCATCCGTGTCAGTAAGATCTTAAAATATTTGAATTTTGATATAACTAATAAATCAAAATAGGATATGTTAATTCAAAAAGGAACACACTGTGAATCTCCTTAGTGATTAATTAATTAAGGCTTACAATTTTCCAAGGCCTGATTCGCTCGAATCCATCATCATATTTCAATTTTGCAGGTTCTTAAGCTTTCTCCTTCTCAGCCTTCATTTTCTCTTCTTCCTCTCCTTTCAATTTGGCATCTTCCTTCGCTTTCTCCTCCTCCACCTTCTTCCTTTCTTCTTCCTCCGCTTCCACTCTGGCGTCTTCCTTAGCCTTCTCCAGAGCCTCAACCAGTGCTTCCAGACAAGTAGTCTCGTCCCCCTCGCCCGATTTCGGCATCAAGCTCTCCGCAACATCCGCCGGCGTAATTTCCGTTTCCGTCAGCAACCGTTCGATCGTCGGGAAAAGCTCATGCGTTTCAACATCCAAGTAGTTTTTAGCGAGCACTTTAAAGGCTTCGAATCCACAATAGGAGAGCTCAATATGCTTGTCCATTCTCCCTCTCCGGATCAAAGCCGGGTCGAGCTTTTCCCTGAAATTGGTGGTGAAGACGATGATCCTCTCTCCTCCAATGGCGGACCAGAGGCCGTCGATGAAGTTCAGAAGACCAGAGAGGGTCACTTCGCTCTTCTTCTCTTCAGGTTTCTTCTCTTTCCCGATCTTCAGCGGGTCTTCTACCTCTGTTTCCTCTGGTTTACCTCTCCTCTGGCCGGTGAGTTCCAGAGAGCAGTCAATGTCCTCGATGACGATGATGGACTTGCTGGAAGTGTCGATCAGGAGCTTTCTCAGGGTCGTGTTGTCCTTCACGGCGGTCAATTCCAGGTCATACACATCGTATTCCAGAAAATTAGCCATGGCCGCCACCATAGAGGACTTTCCGGTGCCCGGAGGGCCGTAGAGGAGATACCCGCGCTTCCACGCCTTCCCGACTTTGGCATAATACTGTTTTGATTTGCTGAAGGTGATAAGATCGTCTATGATTTCTTGCTTCTTCTTCGGGTCCATTCCGATGGTCTCAAAGGTCGCCGGATGTTCGAAGGCGACTTGGGTCCACATCCTCCGGTAAGGGCTGAAATATGTTCCGTCGTTCCTGATGTTGGTGTACAGCTTCCTCTGCCGGTCCTTCACCGTGATCTCCTTCCCCTGCTCCAGTACGTGTTTCAGGTAAGCTCCGGTGACGATGTGGCGGTGCTTCTTGTGGAACTTGAGGGTGAAGAACTTTTTGACCTCATCTCCGCCGCGGAAGGAGATGGTTTGGCTGGTGGGGAGGTTCATCTCGGAGACCCACCAGAGTTTGATCCCCTGAAACTCGTCGGTGACCTCCTCGAAATAGTCCATGCTGAGAACCAGAGCCTGGGAGTCCTTGATGTCCTCCGCCTTGAGACGCTTAGCCTGGTGGGAGGAATTGGCGGCGAGGTAGCGCTCGATGGCCTTGTACATGTTGCCGGAGGTGCCTCCCCTGAAATCGTCGCCGGATAATTCGTGGAAGGAGATGTGGATGTAGGGGTAGAACAGCCTTCTGAATCTCTTGGTGTGGGTCTTCAGGAAAGTACGGACTTCATAGGGGCAGTACTGGGAGAAAGTCGCCCAGACCAGCATGAGGGTCACCACCGTCGAGCCCAGCGTCCCCCACACCGCCTCCATTCCCATTCCCATCGCCATCGGCACCATCCTTTTTCTTCGCCGGAAATGTGTATTTCCGGTGTGTAAAACGGTGGCTTATACGACTGGAAACGAAAAGTTGGAATGATCTGGAAATGATATGCACACTCCGCTGCCCGGTGTCGTTATATATAAAGACAGGCCTTTAAAGAAAGACACATCAAGTTGTGTGGTAGTGTAGTAGTGTACTATTGTAGACATTTACTGTAGGGACTAATAAAATGGCATTATGAGTTATGACCACAAGTGCCTCAAACCTTTTACAAAATCTCCAATTCCATTCGAAGTTGGGGAAATTATTAATTTACCCACAATTTCAATATTTTGATACTCTTAGCCCGTTTGGTAATATGAAAATCGGTTGATTCGGCTGATTCTGCTAAAATTTATGAAATTCTGTCTCAAATGATTGCATTGATTGATTCTGCTGATTTAAGAAAAAACATTTTTAAAACATACTACGTATTTTATTAATAGAATAAAAAAAAAACTATATGTAAACATAGCTAAAATGGTCATCTCCAGTAACTTCAGCCAATACAGTCATAAAAGTAACTCCAATCTTACTTTTTCTTAATATAAATTCAGCGCGCGAAAAAAAAAGTTACGTGTTTGGTGAAAAAGTTGGCTGATAAGCTTGATAAGCCAAAAAAAAGAGTTACCAAACAACCTCTCTATATAAAACTATCAGGTTCAATTGAGCTTTATTTGGATTAATCATGTAACTTTTGATCTTGCGTGCTAAATTGTGTTATAACCAAAATAAATAAAGTTGATGTTACATTTTTGATAGAATTGTCTGAAGTTACAATAGAAAATCAGTACAGTAGAATTGTACAATTTTTTAAATTTTATTAATAAATATACGTAGTATTTTACGTAATATTTTTCTAATTCAGATACAACTTCCAATTTCAATAAATTCAGTCACCAATACCTTTCACCATTGTTTTTCAATAAATTATAAGTCGTACACTTTTCATAAACATTGCTTAACGAAAACCATTTTGTTGTGGCTAGCACTCTAGAAATTTTAAACAACAATAATACTCCCTCTGCATTTGTTCACTACCATAGCATTGGGCACATTATTTAAGAAAGAAATAGTAGGGGTAATGTATAATGTAGAAAAAATTAGAGAGAGTGTGTAAAAGTATGAAAGAGAAGATAAAAAGTAAAAAAAATAAGGGTAATTGAGTATTTTTAAAGAAGAAACTTACCAAAAATGGAAAGTGTAGCAAACTTTTAAATATATCCTAAAAAAGAAAGTGTAGCAAACTTTAGAATACGAAGAGAGTATATTTCTTATGTTTTTTAGTTGTAATAATGTAATGTTACAATTTTCACGTTTATCCATTTCTATTTTTGATCATTGATATATTTCGTTTCTTATTAGTAGTAAAATTGAAAAAATCGAATGAAATAGTGTGTTGGAATGAAAAATAAATCCAAAAGAAGTAGTTGTAATTGTGTATTACTCCGTATTTTCAAAATCATTGAGCGTATGATTGAAAGATTTAGGGAGTGTTTGCAACTGCTTCTGCTTAAAAAAGTACTTTTGGAGTGATTTGGAAAAAGTGATTAGTAATAAAAGTTTATAGTGTTTGAGGAAAAAAAGATTTTGAAAAGTAAAAGTTGATAGTGTTTAGTAAAATAAGTATTTTTTGTATAATATAAAAGGGAAAAATACTTTTCACACAAAAATGCTTTTTCACTCCAAAATGCCCAAGTTTTATAACTATAAATGCTGCATAATGTAGCACTTTTGCACCCCAACTGCCATTAAACAGACATGACCAATATGTTTTTTTTAAATGGGTCTATATTGAAAATAAAGGGTGGCTTTATCAACCCCTTTCCTCTTTTAGTTATGAGGCAAATCACCTGCATTTCATAAAGGAAATTGTATGAAGTGTTAAAACAGCAACAAATAAAATACGTGCCTTTTTAATAATCTTTGTTTTCAGTAATCTAATCTTTGTTTAATTTTTGGTTTATCAGTTCTATTATCTATTTTTCGCCATACATGTACTTTTTGATTTTACACGCTAAATTGTGTAATAATAAAAATACGTAAGGTTAAAGTTAATTTTCTGGTTGAATTGACCGGAGTTACTGTAGAGTTGATGATTTTAGCTATTTTCACATAAAAACACGAAATGTTAAATGAATATGTTTCATAAATTGATACGTATGGCTAAATTGTGTATTTTATAAATAGAATATGTTTTTAATATAATGTTTTCATAATTTAGTAGAGTCAGCCATTTTAGCCTGAATTTAATAGATTTCAGTATAATCAATCGATTAAACCAATTTGAAACATTTTAGCCATTTTACCAAATAGGCTCAACATCCATTTTGAAACATGAAATGTTAATTGTTTCGTTTTGTAGTTATGAGTTTCAAAGTAACTAAAGTCTATAGAGATAAAAAAATTCAGCGTTCAATGAAATATACTATCCCCTCACAAAAAATTAATTTCAATTATAATTTTGATGATTTTATATATATATTTCCATTTCCCTTTTCGAAAAATTTGACGTGTCTAACCTTGATTCATCTTTTTCTTGATCATCCACAATCATATGTTTACGCTTTATTTTCACTTTATTAGTATGCATGTCAAGTCAAATCAGAGTATGAGAATACTCCGTATCATATAAATTTATTAACTAAAAAATGCTTGGACACAAATAGGAAACATAATATTATTGTGGGAGGGTCACGCAGAACTTGCCATTCTAGTTGGGTCAACATTGAGCACCAATGCCATGGATAATCAATCATACTTCAATTATTTTTGTTCTTGTCCGGCTCAATAGGTGAGACTGAGGACTGTGAGGAGAGTAAAATGGGGAAATGACCAAACAACGGATATTTGAGGCGTCTCCCAGGAATGTGAGGATTCGGTTTTTGAAAAGGAAGGGTGGTCTAAGAATGTTTTTAATTTCATTCGTTTTAGATCAAATCAAACCAAACCAAATCGATCAAATAATATCAGAGGTTAGACTAGATTTTGAAGTTATAAAATACACATGGAATAGACATTTATCATTCGAATTGTACCAAACAAGATTTAAATGGGGTTGGTCCGATCAATAGATCAAATGGACGAGAAAATTACATTTCGTTTGAAAACATCCTAAGTGAATCACTTCCATCACTTAAGATTCACTTATTATAGTATGGAAGAAATTCCACTTTTGGTCCTTCGAGTTTTGCACCAATTCCACAATTAGTCATCAACTTTCACTTTATCCATTTTTGGTACCTGACTATTGTTTTCTTGACGATTATAGTCCTTTTTCCGGTAGTAAAAATGCCCATATATAGATGGACTGAGGATGTTTTCTTTTGGACTGAAATTTGCTGGTCTGGTCTGAACTGGTCTGATCTGGTAAACGTCTGATCTCTATGTGTATTTTATAACTAAGAAATTCTGGTCTGGTCTGTTAAAGTCTGGTCTGGTCTGGTCTGTCTAAGTCTGGTCTGGTCTGGTCTGGGACTGAAAACAGTCCAAAAGAAAACATCCTGAAAATGGTCAAGAAAACAATAATCAAGTACCAAAAATGGATAAAGTGAAACAGGAGGACTAAATATGGAAATACACAAAACTCGGAGGACCTAAAGTGGAACCAATTCTTATAGTATGTCTCGGAGTTCAAGTTATCAAAGAAGTTAATTCAAATTTCTTTTGAGTTGTTAACGAATTGTTATGTTTTTCTGGAAATTCTCAGTTTTATGTCTGACCCATTTTAACATTAAGGTATTATTATGATTGCTTTTGTATTTATTATTTTATCATCAATAATCAAGTGTTTTCATTTAAAAAAGAATTTCTTATTCTATCTTCATCAAAAGGCCGTTTTCCTTTCATAATCCGGTTGTCCTATGAAAATCACTTCAGAGAAAATCGATTTAAACTAATTTCCCTGAAAATCTCAAAATATTTATGTACATAATACTTTATTGATTTCTTAAAATACGTGCAAGTAAATTGTATAAAACATGTAAAGGACGAAAGCTAATAGAAGTGTATGAGTATTTCTTTTTGAAAATTTATATCCACACACACGCATGTGACATGTGCGTAATTATTATTCCAAATATTTTGCTAAATATGAACTTTGAATATGATGTATTCGGATTAGATTTGGATTAGTTAACTGATTGCTCTTAGTTTCAATTCCTATTCAAATTTCTGATCAAGATTCAATAATAGTGATGTTCTAATCTCATATTCAAGACTGAATGTCGAACTATCAAAATTAATCCTTTTGGTGTAATAGAGTAAAACAAATCGGTTGTTATTAAGAAACTCAACAAAATTTACGATTTATTGCTTAATTAAAAGAAGATAACAAGATATTTTTAAACAAACCATACAGAGCAGTAAATGGAGAAAATTAACTCGGGGTGAAATATGTCCTACTAATGCAAAATGAGGCTAGATGTTGCATATAGGGTTCATCGAATTGGTTGAAGGCACTAAATTGAGTTTTTTTAGTTTTTTTATTTTATTGCTTTTTATCCACTAATCGTGATTTAAAGGAAGTTGTCCATACTCCTATTTAATTAACCTTTCAGCTAAATAAATATTACTCCGTACTACGTATAATGTGCCACTCATTGAAATTTTGTGATCGCAAAACGGTCCATCAACAGTACAGTGGCAAAGAATTTTCGTTTTCAATACTCCCTAATACCATACAACCATAACTTTTCAACCTCATCGTAATATAAGCATTTTTATTAACTCTATCCCGCGTGGGGACAATCCCATGGAATTAGGCAGGATCAAAGTATAAGTTGGGTCGGTATAAAGAATTTTTTCAGGTACATTTTTACACACAAATTTTTACACTAAAAATACCCATGGATTGATCCCCTCTACCTCCACCCCTTAGCTTTAGTCACCGTTAAACTATCCTTGCTAGTACCTACCCCTTTATTCTATTGATATAGTAGTATATGACTTAGCAAGCTATTGCGATCAATAAGAATTTTACGTTATGCACATTCAAAGAACAACTATGATGTGTGTTCCCAATTTCCAATAAAAATAAACAAGTATTTGTTACATTCATACATTAGTATAAAATATGCGCCATTACATAAGATTTTG